AAAAAAAAAAATCCTTACGCGATAGGAAAATAATGAATATTATTTTCGAGATCTTCGTAGCTGAATTATGGAAAAACCGTTATTAAAACCAAAACAACTTTTATGAAGTTTTAAATTCGCAGGCCTGTGTAATCTTAATACTAATGGTCGCGACATAGCTTTGGCTATTTCTTTTTCTGAAACTCGTGTAAATATTAGTATTTACTCTAGAAATATTTTAAATTTGACGGTTTACCCTCCTCAAGTAATTTTGTTCTACTTAAAACGAAACGCGCTATTTCAGAACTAAAAATATTTACTTTGATCTGTTCGCATTCTTCATGGCCCGGCATGGCCAGGTCGTTAGGGCGCTCGACTCGCAATCTGAGGGTCGCGGGTTCGAATCCCCGTGACACCAAACATGCTCGCTCTTTCAGCCGTGGGGTCGTTATAATGTTGCGGTCAATCCCACTATTCGTTGGCAAAAGAGTAGCCCAAGAGTTGGCGGTGGGTGGTGATGACTAATTGCCTTCCATCTAGTCCTACACTGCTAAATTAGGGACGGCTAGAGCAGATAGTCCTCGTGTAGCTTTGCGCGAAATTCAAAGCAAACAAACATTCTTCATATTTTCGAAATAATGTACAGCTTTTAGATGAAGGAAAAAGAAGAAAATTTAATGAATATTTATATTATGATATCATCAAATTATACAGATTGTTAATAATAAATATAAAACTGTCTTAGATAATTTTCCATTGATAATTATTAAGTTACTTAATACTATCCAAGATATTTGTAAAACTGTTTTGCAAATTAGGTGACGCTAGTTTTTCAAGGTCATCTGATATTATAAAATACATTGGTATGCTTAATGCACTGGTACAACTTTTGTCTACGTGATAGAACAGTTAGCTCATGACGTTAGCAACGACATTGCTCGTTATCTTTAAGAGCATCAACGTAGGTAATTAAACAAATTCTATCGTTATGCAGGGAACTGGATAAAGAAAGACCAACTTCTAGACAATTGTGTAATTTACCACCATTTGTCTGACTTGCATATTTTGGTGCATATAATTATAGATGGTGGTTGGGTGTTGTCATCGAACTATACTGGATGGTACTATATTGTGATATAATTATGGGTGGTGGTTGTATTACATATTGTTAGACATCGAACTACACTATTGCAATTCTCTCTTATACTTTAATAACATTCCACTAACGCCAGGATTATTAGAAACATGGTTTCTAAAGGGTAACAACCATATCCACAATTGACTACGAACAGTTGACGTCTGGTTGGACATTGTGAGCTGTCCCCAATGGCTCAATGGCAAGTCTGCAGTCTTACAACGGTAAATAGCAGATTTTGATACGCGTGGTGGGTAGAGCGAATATAGCCCATTGTGTAGCTTTGTGAACAACAACCAAAACAAACAAACTGTGAGCTTGAGCACCAGAGTTTCAACCTTTAGTGTTTTTTTTTTTCTAATAGAATTTAACCTGTGTTTTGTTAAATAACTGGAGAGACGGGATATCCTCAACGCTGTTTGGGTGCTACTACCACTGTTATTCTTGTGTATAAACATTTTTATCTTTTTTTATATTTTTATACGTGATATATGTTTTTATTAATATTGTTTGATGCGTGAATTTGTTACAAAATTATATATAAATATTTACCAACATAATGAGTTACCAAAATATCCGTAATCTAATCGCGTGTTTATTCCGAACTTGTACAAGGTTTTCATGTTTTCTCAAAATGTTTGCTTTCGCGAGGTAACTTCGTAAATGATGGAAAACTTATGCACGGGAAAGTGCAAATATTAAATTAATCGTCAGTAAAGACGTTTGGTTATTGACTTATCTAATATCATAATAGTCAGTTATTTCTTTCAGTTGATTACCTTGTTTCTTTAGTTAAATATTTATTTTACACTAGAGTAAAATAATGACAAAACGGACTGATTACAGTAGTAAAACTTCATGGCTACAACATATTTTGTTGGGCTTTATACTTTTTTATATACAAGTACTTTCTGATCCCTGTCGTTACTTAACTAGGGTTAATTTCTAAGCAGCAAAAGATAATATACAAGAAATGGCTGGAACTGTTAAGTCTACATTTAAATTTTATTGAAATAGCCTAACCAAAGAGTGATAATTATTCACGACGATCAAGAGTGTAATAATCTTGAGCACTAATTACGAAGAAATAATGTTACGCTTTCTCTTTCTAGCCACTGTTAACGTTGTCATGGAGATAAACATCAGTGTGGGTATTCTGTAAAGTCAGGATTACAGTCTGTGTCGCCCTAAAAACATAATTACCAGACGTCCTCGCAATTATGTCACAATCTATTCTCGTCAACAGCGAACAAAAATACATATAGAACCCAAGGTGAACCTCACAGTACGGTAGATAAAAAGTTTTATCTTTGTTTCCTGTTTAAATAGGTTGTAATTTTTAAGAATACGACTGATGTCACTTTGACACCCTTGGGCATTTCTTGTATATCTTTGCATCGACACCTCCAGAAATTTACAGCAAGTAATAACCACATAAACCTAGGTGATTCTATCGTCTCGTCGTATAACTACTAGCAGAAGCAGTTCTTTAACTATAACGATTTATCTGACGAGATTATAGAATCACTAGGGTTTTAAGATCAGGCGTTCTTCGTTTATATGAAGTACAATCACTACAACGTGATATGTTGGAAAGACCAGGGGCGTGCTAGATTCAACTGTCCAGCACAATGTTGTTTTCAAATAAATAAATTAATTAATCGAAAAATATAATTAATGTGCTTGAAACACATTCGCATAAAGTTAATTACCCCTTCTTCAATATTTGAAAAAAATCTGTGCAGTCTAAACAACTGCGTTGAGGAAAAATATTTTGAGCAACAACTTCATTGCCATCTTGATGAGCCGTGTAACAAGTTAGTAAAGTCACGTGTTCCTCGTTTCTGTTAAATTCCGTGTAACAAATTACAAGACCGTATGTCACACGTTATTGTGG